AAAATGTCATTCTAAGTGAAGTAAGCCAGAAAGAGAAAGAAAAATACCATATGAGATCGCTCATATGTGGAATCTAAAAACAACAACAACAAAAACATAAATACAAAACAGAAACAGACTCATAGACATAGAATACAAACTTGTGGTTGCCAAGGGGGCAGGGGATGGGAAGGGACAGAATGGGGTTTCAAAATCTGTACATACTGACAGGTATATGCACAATAGATAAACAAGATTATACTGTATAGCACAGGGAAATATATACAAGATCTTGTGGTAGCTCACAGTGAAAAAAAAAATGTGACAATGAATATATGTATGTTCATGTATAACTGAAAAATTGTGCTCTACACTGGAATTTGACACAACATTGTAAAATGACTATAACTCAATAAAAAATGTTTTAAAAAATAAAATAAAATAAAATAAAATAAAAACCATTTTGACTTAATGTCATATCTTAAAAAATAATCTGTGTATTTTCAACCTATGGGCTATTATGCAATTAAGAAACAGTGAAATTTTATGTACTTTTTCTGAGCTGCTAGAAAATCACATAAATTCAACATCTAGTCGGGTTGGGGGAAAGGGTTGGGAAAAGAAGGGGGAGAAATAATTCCAACTCCCCACCATAGGAACCGTGGCAGAACACTAAACAAAGCACTCTGAGCAGGAGGCCAAACAAGCCTCTTTTACAGGAAAAGAGGAGAAGAGAGTTAACATTGTCTACTCATTCATTCATTTCATTCTTTGTTAACAAAAATTTGGCAACTAAAGATTCAGTAATGAATACAACTAAAAAGGGCTCAAAAGCTTCTAAAAAGCAGCTGTCTTTCTAGTAAGGAAACGCACATAAAATAAAATAGAAAACAAATAAGCCAATGAGATAATTTTCAGTCAAGATGGTTCCATTGTTCATACCTTGAGGATACTTTTCCTTCTCCAAACACGTATCAATGAAAGAGAAGATACAAATGTGAAAATTAAAGGTAAAGTCTTGCTCAAAAACAAGGCGAACATCTTCATGGATGGGAGCATGCACAGAAACACATAATGGTGAAGAGGTTGAAGCTGTGGACCACTGGGGCTCTGGATCCAGAAAAAGGCAGAGAAGACCAGATGCCCAATTCCAGAGGGGTAAATACAGATTTGAAGTGGCCATCCAAGATAGGACTGCTAAAGATGGGCTCACTGCTTGAAATTATGCCTAGGCATTGGGCTCTCCTACTTATAAAGGAAGTTAAAATAACCTGGCATCAATCACAGCCCACGCTATGGCTTCTAAAAGTATTATGCAAGTAGTGAAAGGACACAAACTAAACTGCACCAGCAACTGATCCACAGCATCCCTTGACCTGGGGAGCAGATCTGCAGTATCTCTGACATCAGCGAAAAAAGGAGCCCCAAGCTGCCAGTCTAAGTCCTGAATGTGATATGTAGTCCCAGGTGTCAGGAGGAGGCAACTGAAAAACTGTTAGGCAGGGAAGGGTAAGGACACTCAGAGAGAAAGAAAGATAAAAAACCTGAGCCACTCACAGGAACTTCAAACCAATACTACAAAACAGAAAGAAAACTGAACTCACTCCTGACAAAATGAAACTAAGAAATCTAAGCATTAAAACTAAGTATAGACAGCCCTCAAAAAGATAATGGAAAGGATGACATTAATCTAAAGGAATAGGAAAACAAGAAGCAAAACCAGGCATTGATGAAGTACAAGTGGATATCCTATAAAAATGCAATGCAATGAGAAATCCTGGCAAGGTAAAACATAGCTACTGAAATAAAACCCTTAATGGACAGGAAAAACTCCAGAGTGGACACAAAGGAAAGGAGAAGATGACAAACTAGAAGATAGTTCTGATTAATTACCTAAAATGCAGCAGGATATAATGATACAAATGTCATATAATTATAAAAGCAGTTGATAGGGGCAGATGGTTACCAGACTTATTACGGTGATCATTTCATAATACGTACAAATATCAAGTCACTATGTAGTACACCTGAAACTAACATAACGTTGTACATCAACTATACTTTAATAAAAATTTTTCAATAAAATAAAGCAGTTGAAAGACATGGAAAATGAGAGGTTAAGTGGCTCAATATATATCTAGAAGAAATTAACCAGAAAAATATCAAGGAAATAGAGAAAAAGTATTTGAGGAGCTACATACGCTAGAATTAAAGATGTGTGTTCTTAGGTGAAATGTTCTTAGGAAGATGTTCTTAGGTCACCCGTCCTCTTTCTAACACCTCAGGGCAGGTCCTTTACAATTTAAGGAGTGCCTCCCTCAAAAGCTGCTGCTTCTTGGAGTACTAAGGATAAAGACCTGATTTGAGGCACTGATTCTCAGAATGAGGAATGATTAACTGGTATTCTTGAAGGGAAACAGGAGGGGAGACAGGTGCTCTCCACCCTGGAGTCCGCTTCTCCCACCTCCCACTTAACCTGGTAGGACTGATATAGAGGAAGATCTGAACTTGCAATCCTAAACAGAGCAGTCAGAACCCTAGCGGTAACCAATCCTTTGAGGATCAAAACTATTTTAAAATAACCTGAATTACAGGTTTCATCAGAAACACAGATATCAGAAAAGATGGATCAAGAAGTTAAAATAAGCTTAATACACATACTAGAATAAATAAGGAAAGATATAAGCAATATGAAACATGAACAAACACAATAAAAAAGAATAAAATAGAAATATTAAATATCAAATGTAAAAACAGAATGTTAAAATAGTGAACACAGACAGGATATATAGTGGAATGGACATAGTTGAGAACAAATTATTAAACTGGACAATCAGTATGAGAAACTCTGCAAGTAAAAAGAAAACAGTACATAAACAGAAACTACAAAGAGAAGTTAAGGGATATGAAGACAGAAATAGAATTACTAATATCCAAATAAGAAGAGCCCAAGAAAGAGAGAAAAATGAAAATAAACATTTGGAAATACCTGAACCAGAGACAACTGTCTCAGAATTACAGATGAAAGACCTCACACTAGAAAGCCTCACGGGTGACAAAGAAGAGAGAGAAGGGAAATCCGCACTTAAGCATACTACACATTAAAATTTAAGTCTTTTTAACAATGGGGATGAAACAACTGGATATCTGTAGGGAAAAAAAATTTAAGAACCCCGACCTATACTTCACATCTTATACAAAAATTACATCAAAACAGAACACAGACTTAAATCTAAAACATAAAACTATGAAACTTTTAGAAGAAAATATGAAAGAAAATCTACATGACTTTGGGTTAGATAAAGAGTTCTTAGATATGACACAAAAAAACATGATCCACAAAATAAAAAAATGATAAACTTGACTTCACCAAAACTTAAAACTGTTGCTCTGTTAGGACATTGTTTAAAAGAAAAGACAAGCCACAGACTGGAAGAAAACACATGCAGGTCACATCTGACATAGGACTCAAATCCAGGATATATGAAGAACCTCAAAACTCAATGGTTAAAAAAAAACAGTAACAACTAATTAGAAAATGGGCAAAAGATATGAACGTATATTTAACCATAGAGAAGTTATGATGCCACAAATAAGCACACGAAAAGATGTTCAATATCATTAACCACTTGGGAAACACAAATTAAAACCACAATGAGATATCACTAGAAGCCTAGTAGAATAAGTAAAATAAAAATAGTGGTAATACCAAAAGTTGGTGAGGATGCAGACAAACTGATCTCATACACTGCTAGTGGATGTAAAATGGTACAGCCATGCTTGAAAACAGTTTGAAAGTTTCTTACAAAACTTAGTATGCACTTATCATACAACACAGATAAATGAAAACTTCATATGCAAAAACCTGTACCCAAATGTTCACAGCAGCTTTATTCACAAATAGCCCCAAACTGGAAACACTCAGCTATCCTTCAGTGGGTGAATGGGTGAATAAACTCTGGTACATCTATACTCTGGATGCTACTCAACAATGAAAATGCATGAGTTATTGATTCATGCAACAACCTGAATGGATCTCAAGAATATTATCTGAGTGGAAAAAATCTATCTCAAAGGGTTATATATTATCTGAGTCCACTTACATACTTCCTAGAAATAAAACTGTGGAGATGGAGAAAAGATTAGTGGTTGCCAATGGATGGGGTTGGGAGGAGTGTGTTGGGGTGGACAGCATGTGAACTTCTGTGCTGACAGAACAGTTCTGTATCTTGAATCTATACCTAGGATAAAATGCACACTCTCCCCAACACCCCACGCAGGTTAAAAGAAAAAGAACACTGAATTAAAATTTTGAAAACTGAATAAGGACTTTAGTCTAGTTAGCAATACCATACCAGTGTCCATTTCCTGGTTTTGATACCATACTACAGCTATATAAGATGTCGACATGGGAAAGCTAGGCAAAGGGTATGCGGGATTCTGTACTATTACTGCAATATCCTGTTTAAGTCTGTAATTACTTCATAGTAAAAAGCTTTTTTTTAAATGAGCAGAGAAAGATGGACTGTTCAATAAATTACATATGGCTTATCTACAGGGATACAAATAATATAAGACCCCTATCTTACACGACATAGTAAAATTCTAGAGGGCATAAAGATTTCAACATTTAGAAGGAAAAATAAGAGATCTTTATTTTATTAGAATAAAAAAATTTCTTAAATATGATTTTTAAAAAACACCAACAATAAAGGAAAATTTTGATAGTTTAATCTATTCTTATTTAAAATTCTGTATAACAAAAAATATCAAAAACAAAGTTAAAAGACAAGCATAGTCTCTCTTAGAAAACATGAAGCTGGAAAAGGCAAGAAGACGGGTCCTCCCACGGGGCCTCCGGAGAGGAACGCCACCCTGCAGGCACCTAGATTCCAGCCCGGGAGACCCGTGTCAGACCTCTACCCTACAGAACTGTAAAGTAAGACATCTGCATTGATTTAAGGCACTAAGTCTGTGGCAATTTGTTAGAGCAGCAACAGAAAACTACTATAGTGACTTACTTCTGTCGACTTCCAAGCACTAATCTTGAGTGGCAGCATCTCCTGTGACAACACGGTTCCACCAGACAGCTGAATGTCTTGACGCTGCTCTCGTTTCAGTCCTGACTTGGAAGTGTTTTCTGTCAACAACATAAAGCTAAGATTGGACTTTGACAAAAGATAGTAATGCTCTCGTTTCAGTCCTGACTTGGAAGTGTTTTCTGTCAACAACATAAAGCTAAGATTGGACTTTGACAAAAGATAGTAATGTTTTTACATTAGCTTGTAATTTTTAAGTTATTCACTTCTGAAGATCCATTTTGTCTATAAAATATACATCATCTGTCAATGGTTACCTATGAATATTAATCATTTAATATATCCCTTTATAATAATAGACAAGTTCAGACAGATTTTTAAAATACAACTTCAATTCTAGCCCTTTCTCCTATCAATGATTCTATTTTACAGTTTTATTATTTGAAATATCTTTTTAAAAATAAGATATAATATACTGTAAAAAATAGTTTGGAAATGTGAAAATTACTCAAATGAAATTTTAGCAAAGCAGAAATGACAACTATAATTATTCTAATTAATATTTAAAAGAACTTTATTACTGCAGTGTGAATTTCATCTGTTCTAGGTGAAAGTAATCAGAAATGTATAGATTGTTTCATAAAAAGAAACTTTCAAACAAAATTTTTAAAACTTAAACAAAAAAGAATATGCCAATGAAAATAAGCTACTTTTCTGCTTTTATAGTTTTGATAAACTTAATTTTTTAAGACAATTTATGTCTTTTTTTAACATTTTTTATTGATTTATAATCATTTTACAATGTTGTGTCAAATTCCAGGGTACAGCACAATTTTTCGGTTATACATGAACATATATATATTCATTGTCACATTTTTTTCTCTGTGAACTTAATGGTTTTGCAGTCTTAATATCACTTTCCTCCCTATGTTAATTACTATGTAAACAAAAGTATTAGTACCAACTATATTTCAGCACATTACTGGGTACAACAAAAAGCGTAAGAAATCTATCTTCAAACTGATGTATGCACACCTCTGGGGGTACTTAAAGACTTCCTGAGGGCTAGGTGGGCACAGATAGCTTTAAAGGACTCAATTTCCAGATCCACAAGTTCTGTACATATTCTTACCAAAAATACTGATCTGCCTGAGAATGCAAGTGAGTAGAAGCATCAGGCTAGTTCTTTCCCCCTTCCCTTTCATAATAGATTTTCTCCAACTTTACAAAGAAAGACATTTTCTTTACCCATCTTACTATGGTGCATCCTCCCTTAAGATGCAAGCATAAGAATCTATAAGGCACCAAACAACAGTGAAAAAAAGACTCACATGGGAAGCTTCCTTTAATCAAGGCACAAGAAACCCAAAGTAGAGCTTCAAAGTCTATCCTATCTTATACTTCTTTTAATGACAAAGCATGGTATAAGTAACAGAGTCTTCTGGTTCAAACTGTTCATACTAGGATGTGTGGTACTCAGATACATGACAGTATGGAGAAGCAGGACAGTTGACAAGTTTCATCTAATGTCCTTGTGCTTTGCATCCCCCTAGTACTGTCAAAGCATGCATCATTCCTGAGAGAAGAGCAAAGAAAGCATCAGAGGCAAGGGCACCTTATTTCACCAATGCAACAAACAGGGCAAGGCTCCATCCCTTAGAAATTTATCTTAAGGAAAGAATTCAGAAGTGTGACTACAACCAGAGTGATATCTGCTTACACGTATATTTGAATAAATAAAGTAAAATGTTTTCTGAAAGAAAGTTTAAATATGATTCGGCTGGTTGTTTTGACAATGAGGGCTGGCTCTGACAACTAGGTAAATATGGCAAATATTTTCCAAAAATTGAATAAACCAAATCTGCAGTTCTGAAGAGTTGATGAAAATACATCTAAAGCATATGACAAGCAATTCTCCAAGGAAGACCTACAAATGATCAATAGACACATGAAAAAATGCTCAATATCACTAATTATCAGAGAAATGAAAATCAAAACTACAATGAGGTATCACCTCACACCAGTCAGAATGGCCATTACTCAAAAATCCACAAATGACAAATGCTGGAGAGGCTGTGGAGAAAGGGGAACCCTCCTACACTGCTGGTGGGAATGCAGTTTGGTGCAGCCACTATGGAAAACAGTGTGGAGATTTCTCAAAAGACTAGGAATAGACTTACCATAGGACCCAGGAATCCCGCTCCTGGGCATATATCCAGAAGGAATCCTACTTCAGGATGACACCTGCACCCCAATGTTCATAGCAGCACTATTTACTATAGCCAAGACATGGAAACAGCCTAAATGTTCATCGACAGATGACTGGATAAAGAAGCTGTGGTATA